ATAGTTCGCTATATTAGCTATTATGTTATAGTAGGCTAATAACACCTACTAGCACCCGATTACCTTCTTCTCGAGGAAGATAATTAATGCTAAACGTCGCTACGAGACCTACGAGCAAGAGCTCCTAGCTATTGTCGAGGCCTTTAAGTATTAGAGGCACTACCTCGATAGGGCTTAATATACAATACAGGTCTATATAGACTATAACAACCTCCGTAGAATTACGAAGGTTACTAGGGTTATAGGTCGATAGGCTAGATAGGCCGTCTACCTCGCTAGGTTTGATTTTAATATATTATATCGGCTAGGCGTAAGCAACCCTACTAATAGCCTATCGAGGCGACCCGATTACGATAACGGGACTTAGCAATCTATTAATTTATTGTTTCTAACCCTGCAGCATAAGATTGCTATAGCCCGTATTATTAATAAGTACGCGCAGGATAAGCGGCTTACCGGACTCTGCGACAGCTTAAAGCATATTAATACTCTTGCTATATTAATAGTACGTATTAAGGCAAGGGCTAAGGACACAGATAGGAGAAGTTATAATAACTCCCTAGTCGATATCGCTATATATAGTAATAGCGATTAAAGCACTAATATAGTTAATCCGGCTACTAGTACTATTAGATGCATACAATACGTACCTCGTTTAATAGCGAGGGTACTATTAAATAACCTTACGAATAGGGATAGTTAATCGTTTATAGATAAGCTATTACAGGCTTAGTAGAGGGACGCCTTTGCTACTAAACGTATCGATAAGCTTGTAAGTAGGCGAAAGACTTAATCTAGTAAGAGTAACAATTAGTCGATCGATAACAAAGGTTATTTAAAGTTTAAGGGCAGATACTATATCCCCGCTAAACATTCGATCCGACAAGAACTTCTTAAGCGATACTATAATAGTAAGCTTGCCGGTTACTATAGTATAGAGAGGTCGCACGAGCTACTATCGCGTATATACTACTAGCTAAATAGTAAGCGGGATATAAAGGACTACGTAAATACGTATGCCGTATATTAACGAGTTAAAGCGCCGAAGCACTTGCTATTCGGCGAGTTGTCTTTACTCCCTATTCTAAAGAAGCTATTTATAGAGCTTATAATAGACTTTATTATAGGACTTCCGCCTACTAAGCGCAGGGGGGAAGTGTATAATGCTATCCTTATTATAGTAGATCGATTTACTAAGGGCGCTCGATATATCCCGGCGCGTAAGGATTGGACTGCTATTAATATAGTAGAGGCGCTATAGACTAACATCTTCTATACCTATTAGGGAACCCCTAAAGGGATAGTCTCTAACCGAGGCTCGACATTTATATCGCACTATTAGAGCGAAATATGCCTACAGCTAAGACTAAAGCATCGGCTATTAATAGCCTTCTATCTATAGACTAACGGTTAAACAGAGAGGCAGAATGCTACCCTATAGCAGTACCTACGTAGTTACATTAATGAGAACCCCGAAGACTAGGTTAACCTCCTATAACTAGCTAAATTCGTATATAATAACAGTGTCTACTTATCTACTAAGGTCTCCCCTTATTTTGCTATAATAGGCTAGAACGCTGCCTTACTATAAGATCTATTTACCTCGCTCGAGGCCGAGCGTAAGGAAAGGGAAGCGCGTTAAGTACCCGAAACACTAGCGGCTATTAAGAGGGTTTAGAAGATACGAGAAATCTATACTAAGATAGCCGAGAAGTTGACAAAGGCTTAAGAGTACTAAAAGACCTATTACGATAAGTACTATACGCTAATAACCTTTAAATAAGGTAACATAGTTATGCTTAGTATAAAGAATCTCCGCATCCGTAAACACCTATCTCCTAATAGCAAAACAAGGCCTAAGCTCGCACTAAGATATATTAGCCTATTCCGCATTCGAGAAGTTAAGGGCTCTTCCGTATAGGCCTATTAGTTATAGCTTCCACTATACTACACTATTTATAACACCTTCTATATCTCCCTCCTTAAACTATACTACTACCGCGGAGACCCTAATAAAGAAGCCCCTACTAAACATAAAGAAATACTAGCCGACGGTGAAGAGCTATAGTCTATAGAACGTATCCTATAGCACCGGACTAGGAAAGGCAAGAAGGAGTACCTGTTAAGATAGTAAGGCTATTTACCTAAATAGGACTCGTAGGAAGCTAAAGCCTCTTTTAAAGACATAACTAAGTTGTTAGATAAGTATTAGACTAGTATAAAGAACAAGAAGAAGGCTAAAAGCTCGTAATGTTATTAAGGCTTAGGATTAATGCTACCCCTAGGGTACTATTAGCTAACTAATTAGCTATAAGCAATTGTTAGCAATAAGAGACAATAAGACTATACTACTATAGTAAACGCGCACTAAGTATTAACAAACGCGCTATAACTATTAACTAATCGCCTGCTCTTTTAAGGGATCTACCCCTTTACTAGCGTACGCAACAAGGCCCTCCTCTTAGTATTTAAGTCCCCCTCTTGTTCCTTTCTTCTAACGAGGCCTCGAGGCCTAAGCGATCGGCGGAGGCGTATGCGTAGCGGATAGTGCCGGCGGTATATTAGAAGAAACGGCGCGCGCCTATATTAGTAACGGTATTGCCGAGTTATTGTTAGTTAAAGAAGGAAACTAAAAGCAAGGTAAAGTTAGCGCTAAGACGGCTAGTACCGCTATTATTAATATTACTTGCTATTATTACTGCGCCTATAGATACAACCTTACCCGCACTACGAGCCTAAGGCACTAAGGGGTTAATTAAAACTTTGATTAAAACTTTAAGCCGCCTAAAAGATTAAGCGACTAATAGACTAACTAACTAAGAGCAAAACTATAGAGCTAAGCTAGCCGGGGTCGATCTTGCGGACAATAGGTTACTCCTCGATCTATCTAACCCTTTAAGCGAGGCGAACCTCTACTACTACACTTATAATAGCCTTTACCTATAGAAACTAGACGAGCTATGTTTTTTTTAAAAAGATAAGATAAGATTAATACTTAAAGGCTGCTAAACCTAACTAATTAGGGCTAGTAAAACTACGATAGTAAATAATAGCCCTCGTAATAATAAGAATAATAACCCTCGGAAGCGGACAAACCCTCGGAAGCGGACATTGCTAGGTCTTTTAAGAGTAGACGCAAAGAACTCGGTACGATATTACTTAGAACGGGGGTAGGGCTGCAATACCTTATACGTCTATCTATTATAGTAGGGAAGACGCGCTCGTATTATAATTAGTCGAAGGCCCTCAATTCTTATAGATATATATTACTTTATAGTTTATTATATATAGAGATAGCGCAGTTAGAGTTGTATATTGTATTGTTTAGAGGTAAGGTTCGACATAGTTATATAATTAGGTAGTTAAGTATTTAATTTAGCGCGGGCTAAGCAGCTTATTAGACTTGCTAAGTTAGCGGCAATAGAGGTCGAGATTAGAACATAGGTAGGCTACGAGGGCGCGGCCTTTAGAAGGGAAGCATGTGTTAGGGCTAAAGAGGCTATACGTAATTAGTATGTAACTAGGCCGAGTAAAGCTAGGGTCTCGATGCCTTAGGTAGGGCTTAGCGCTTAGCGTTAGGCTAACTCTCCTGCCTTCCTCCCTCTCCTCCTAGATCCTTATCGAATACTATACTAATTTACTACTACCCTATCTACCTGCTAATATAACCCTTCTTATATAGTACTAGTATTTTACCTTCCGGAAGTAACCGCTTTAATATTAACTTAGCTATAGCGCGAATAAGTAACGTTAGTAGCGATAGGTCTATTAATTCTCGAGATCTATAGTACTCGACAAGGGCGATAGATTAGGCTTCGGAGAGGCGAGAATGCGACGATTTATAGTCGGTACGGCTTATATTACTATTATATCGTCGATATAATCGATAATAGATATCGTTATAGTAGTGTTCGTTACACTATCGTCGTAGGTTAACTAGGCGGTAGTGTATGTGTTCAAACTCGCGAATTGCCGCTATCTAAGCAGCTACTCGAGTATCTTTAGTAAGGTTTGTAGCCGTAGATTTATAGACGGCCTTTTATATATATTTCTTCGACTTCCGCTTTCCTAATAGCATTGTAATAGTATTAAATAATTAAATAAAATGGTCTATATATGCTATTGCAGATAGGTGTTGGTTGCCAAGGCTATTTTGCAGATGGGTGTGGACCGCTTACGAAGTAAGCGGCGTGTGACTCCACCAAGCCGCGGATAATACTCATACGATTGAGGCTGATCGACTCTTGCTGGTGGCACGGGCCAAGCTTGGCGCTTGCTTGTCGTCGACCTCGCGCCTCCTTTCACCATTATTTCAGTCCTCCGTCTCCCAATGCCATTCACAGTTCAAAGTCCATTGCATATTATCAGCATATGCTGTCGAGCGGCGCTATCACGATGCGGTCCGAACACGTAACAAATGCATAGCTTGTGGATGGACATTCGGGAGAAAAGAGCTCGGGCTGTGGTGAACACAATGCAGCCTTGTGGGACAACTGCAATCGTTCTTTGTCAAGGCTCTGTCAGATTCTACCGACCTCCAATTGGATACGCATGTTGCCATGCGGATAGTATGGCTGCTGCGCGCTATCGCAGAGGACAAACATGGAAGGGCCAAGTACGCATTCGAGCCTTCAACATAAGTACTTGATATCGTGCTCGGGAAAGCGATGTTCCCGGAGAGCTGGTAGGGGATGCAAAGCCATCCGCGGATCACATCCAAAGTCTGCGAGTCACTCGACGTCTCGTCTTCGATGGAAGCCTCTGGAAACCTCCCCTGAATGGCCCAATTCCTGCTTGCGAGAAGCTCAATTATATGCCGGCTATTGAATATCCTGGAGACAGGGATCGCTATCATCGTGCGATGTGGACTCGTGGCCCAATTCTTCGAGTCTTTGGGCCGCTTTGGGCTGTCTCCTTTCAGTAGCTCTGTAGATGCCTCAGGTTGGCGAAGCCAAGGCTCCCGAGGGTTTGACTGGAGACAAACTTTGGGCGCTGAAAAAATGATTTTGAGGCTAGGTCTGTGCGTGCATGTGAGACGCATGCGCAAAGGCGCCATCATTGTCTTCACTTGTGTGGGGCTTCCTTCACTTTCTGCAGCCGCCGTTTGCTGTCACTTTTTCCTTTAAAATACAATCAGAGATCATCATTTCTCTAACTTGAGAACTACAAGCACCTTCAAAGGATTTCGCTCCCCACCAGGTAATTCAAAAACACCTACAATAAAGGCTCGACGACTATACTGGCCTCTACTAGACTTCCCCCATATCTCGCGCCCGAGGCACATCGGCTATTCGTCATGGAACCGCTTACGACCGATTTGACCCTCGAGTCCTTATTCAGTGAGCAGGTTACCCTCACAGAACTGATCGGAGACAATTTGTCGGCGGCAGAAGAAGTAAGTCGAATCTGCTACATTCTCGAGAGATTACAAGATTTAACACGAGTAGGTCAAGAAGTGCCGGTTCCTCGAGGGCATACCGGGCGAAATACGGAATCGCATCTATGAATATGCCCTGACTGGCAACAATGGCGAAGCAACATTGCAATTTGGTGTCCTAGTGCCGCCGACATTGCCACCAAGAGAACAGAGGCGAGAGAAGAAGGCTGCGAAGCTCATGCGACTTCAGCAGCACAATGAGACGCTCTCAAGATTGAAGTCCGAACACCGAAGTCGCCAAATTGACTTTGACGAGGAAAAGGCACGTATCGAGGAACTGGAAGAAGACATCCGAGAGATCGATCGGGAGTCGCGGTACAAAACGGACAAGACGCGGGCTCTAGACGGCATGCGAATACGTCTAGCTAGCCTCGAGGGCAATGTGAGCCGTATCACTAGCACGATCGAGATCAAAGACCGTAGTAGAAAGAGCTTGCTGCATCCCGAAGAAGCCTCGACTCATATTAAGGGACCATCCTCCATCTACATCGAGGACGAGAATGTCAAAAAGGCAGTCCATTCTTTCCGCGACATCGACAATATGTTTGCACTCTCCCGCACCTGCAAACAGATGCACCAAGAATGCTCGGCGCTGGTCTACGAATACAACAAGATCAGATTTGTTATGAGAAACGTAGTGAAGGGCAGCTTCTTCGACGAGAACTTCTTCGACCAGGATCTGAAGCACATTGTCCAGCAGCAAACCAAATACAACAAGCTGAATAGGGTGATCATCGACCTGGGTGGCCTTGAATCGTCTTTAGGGGGGACGCGTACACTCAAGGCGCATATGCGAAAAAACCAGGAGAGCCTCCGGAAGCTGCACAAGTCTTGCAAATCACTCACATTGCAGTATGAAAGCGAGATTCGGCAAGTTGGCCTCAGGTCGAAGCATAAATTGGCCTTTAAGCTTCTTCTGGATCATCCCGAGTCGGTCCTCTCCCAGTTCAACGAGACGCTGACGTCGTTGACGATGCTAGGGTGGGATGATGTCAGGTCCATGAGGGAATGTCTGTTGACTGTGTTCTGGCCTGCATGGGCTCTGCGCAATGCCTCCAAGATTTGGTAGGCGAAGATACTGCAGCTATAGTACTGGAAACTGGCTGCAGTGCGCCTGAAGCCTACGAGAGGAACGTCGAATTCACTATTTGAGAGGTGTATAGATGAGCAGCCCTTCCGCTTGCACATGCACGAGCGTTAAAATTTCGCGGGGACCCACCATCACCCGCTTCACCATTTTCCTGTAAGCCATCCCATCTCTCCACTCCCACACTCGTAGCGACTGTGCAGTCGTCTGCAACCATGGCTTCTAACAGCGCGGAGACGTCGCTATTGGACACGCCCATACCGTCAATCGACATAGCTGCACTTCGCATTCATCAGGATGAGGCACTGGCTGAAGAGACAACCAATCCTGCTCTGCCCAACGCCGCGAACATGAGAGACGCAGTAAGTCGACACTCTTTGTGTCATGTCCAAAGAGATACTAATCGAGTTCAGGCCAAGCCGTGCTTATTTCTCGACAAGATCCCGGGCGAAATCCGCAATCGTATCTACGAGTTTGCTCTGGTTGGCGAAGACGGCGAAGCTGTGCTGAAGTACTGCATCCTGAATCCCACGTCCCCAGCGTTCACCGAGGAAGAACATCAAGAAGCAAAGAGGGAAAAACTGCGAGCGATTACTCACTCCGTCCAAATCGCGACAAGACAGCTCGAGGGAAATCGGGCCGAGCTTGAAGTAATCGACTGGCGAATTGAGACTCTGGAGGAAACTCTTGAGGCGTATACTGAGGAGTCTGTTACCAGGTCTGATGCAACATATGATTTGCGTTCGCTGCGCTCCCGTCGCTCGGATGCCGGTCGAGCGATGAGCCGTTTGAGGTCGTCCATCGCCGACGACGAGCGACTGAAACAGCGAATACTTTCTGGCGAGGTCCGTGTCGAGCCAGAACTGCCGAGACTGAACGCTCACGAAATCCCACTGGCAGTGGATGATGGACAGATAAAGCAGAAGCGAGAAGCTTTCCGGGACGAGAACAACATTTTTGCCCTGGCTCGTACCTGCAAGCAGATCCATGAGGAGTGCTCTGGTCTGGTCTATGAGTACAACAAAATCAAGTTTGTCACCATGCCATTCTCAAGCAGAAAGTCGTCGACCGACTTGCAGCTTAAGCACATTGTGGCACGTCAGAGCGAATCGGGAGAATTACAGCAAGGTCTGATTATTGACGTCGGGTACGTACATTGATTGAGTAGGGCCAAATAAAGCCTCACCAGTCAACATCTGCTAACTCGACTTCATCTCAGCGAAGTTCGCGAAACAGCCGATCGAGAACTTGAACTTTTCATCGACGCGAACCAGCACAGCCTTCGAACGCTTCGAAAGTCATCCAAGTCTCTGGCATTACATTTCCAACTTCAAGATGTGAGATGGAATCAACACCAATCCCGACTCTATCACGAACCGGTGGTGTGTCGGCTTTCTATAGACAGCCCGGAATCCGTGGTCTCTCAGGTCGATGCACTGCTGGCGGCCGAGTCTCAGCGACTGCATGCTGAACGTCTCGCGTTCATCAAGACCAAATTGGTCAAGACCTTCTGGCCGCTGTGGGCTGTTCGCAATTTTCTGTGAGGGATTATACTGGAGAGAGAAGAGGGAAAATGTCATACATCGCGAAAACTGGGAGTGAGCAGCTTCTGCGCTGTGTTTGATTTGAAGGCATCATCAATTATAATGGCTCGGAGGAGGAGGAGTAGGAAAGTAGGGAGGAGATGCTTCGATCCTGGCGCGACATATTAGCATCAAGGCTTTCTAGAGCGATCAGTCAGAGCTTGCGCGAGGGCTGCACGGCTGGTAAACATGGATCCTGTACGTTTGGTTGAAAGCACAATTCAGGCAGCACGGTGTCAGAAGCCGGTGGCAATACGATCCAGAATGAATTCAGAGGAATATGCTTGCGAATGTCTCTGCGCTGGTCTTACGGTAGTTTTGGCGTGAAGCAGAGTGACCACGTTGTCTCATTCTCACACGAGCTGGCTGCGTTTGCTCTTCACCCGTCATGCAGTCTAAGCTTCTGCACGGACTTCAAGAGGTGAGTTTTGCCACGCTAAATTCGAGCTATGGAAAAACAAAACTTGAGGGTACCACAGTCACCACTTATTTCCTCTGCTCCACTCCATTCATACACGCCGCGCTCTCGATACGCGCCACTCCATTAAAGTTCACCATCGCACGCGACCCCCCCCCCCCCCCCCCCCCACGATGCAGAACTCCGAGCCATGCTTCTTCCTTGAGAAGATCCCCGGAGAGATGCGTAACCGGATCTATGATTATGCGCTGTCGGGCGAGAATGGCGAGATGACACTGCATTCCAGCGACATGATTGCACCGTTGCGGCGTTTCAGAGGAGGCAAACAAGAAAGCAAGGTAATGCATGAGTTGCGGCTGCTCGAGCAGTACGTCGATGCCACTGAGCCCGTCGTGGAAGAACAGCAGTCCAGCATCGACCAGAAGGAGGGATGTGTCGTGGTGTTGGAGAGCGAGCTCCAGCGACTTCGTCGAGCAGGACGAGCGCAGACCGACGAGAGTCGAGGGCTGGGGGAGCTTGGAGAGGAGATTCCGAACCTCGAAAACGAAGTCGACCAGATGTTGACCTATATTCGCGTGGCGAAGCGCGGGAGCCGCGTGATTCGGTCTGATTACTTGCTTCGCAGCAAAGAGGGCGAAGCGCCCGTCTTCCGCGATATGCAGAATCTGTTTTCACTTTCGCGTACCTGCAAGCAGATTCGAGAAGAGTGCTCCGGGCTCGTGTACGAGTTCAACAAGGTCAAATTCATTGTCGGGACAGAGGAGAATCGCACCGAGGATGACCGGAAGGAAGTCCTGGACAAGCATTTTGAGTACATCTTGGAGCGCCAACTCAAGCTTGGAGAGCTGAAGATGGGCTTGATCATCGATTTTGGATTCGTTCCACGATTGGGTGCCGCGCCGGGGCTCTTCAGGTTCAACGCGACGATTCGAGAGTATCAGAGTCATCTTCGCAAGCTTAGGAAGGCTTGTCCGTTGATGGAAATTCACTTCTTTACCGATCAGGGATCGCAGCAACTTGGCGTGGAGAAGCACGTTGCTTGGAAGATCGTGCTCGACGGCCCGGAGTCTGTGGTCGCACAATTCGATGCTCAGCTGGCGGGTGAGTTGCAATGGCTACCTCAGCCTGATGGAGAGAGTACCAAGGAAGTATTGGTGAAGGTGTTCTGGCCACTGTGGGCAGTTCAAAATCTTCTGTAAGAGCAAGTGTGTGGATGAAAGCGGCGGATAGGATTACGAGAAGGAGACTGCGAACCGATCTCTGAGATTGAATGCTACAACCACGGAGATTGGAAGCTGTGCTGTTGACTCTTGTACGCGGTGGCTTTTGGGGGGGGGGGGGGGGGGGGGGGAGGGTGCGGTCTTGGATTATTTGGGAACGATGATGCAGTCATGTGACGTGATGTCACGCCGCAGCGAGCCGACAATAGGCTGTTTTATAGCGTCTGAGAAGGTTTGCGATGCATCTGGAAAGGCTGTCAGCGAGTAAAGTTCAGGCTACGTGGAGCAATCAAGTTCGTTCTCAGCCTCTCCGAATACTTATCGTCAGCTTCTCACAACGTCAGCAAAATTTCATTGAGCTCTCACCGATTACGAGAACATCAGTCTGCACGTGTCATTGCCACTGAAGTGTTGTCCCGCGGCTCTCAGCGGTATCAGGCAGTCTATGTGACGAGAGCGACAACCTTTGGCATAGATATGAGATCTCAGCCGTTGTATGCTGTCAAACCTCCGGACCATCCAGCCTCCACCTTTCCAGCACCAACAACCCAGATCAACTCCACCTCGAATCTTTCATGTCCATGACCAACCCTAGTCACCAAATGGTCCCCGAGACTTTGGTAATAGATTGCGATGAAGTGGAGGGCAAAGCAGATATCTGGGTCTGATCAAAGTCCATGGCTGGTTTGGGGAAGGTAGTGCCATCTGTGCAGAGAGCGTGAGCTGTGTTCGATGGCAAAGAGGGCAAGGAGTTTGGTGGTGCCAGAGTCATACGGGTGTCATGGGTGTTTGATAATTGTAGTCATGGCCCGCAAGCAACCGTGCTGCAGTACCATCTTCTCTTTTGCTATCAATGACGACGTCAACTAGTATTAGTCGTCTCCACGCTCACCACACCTGAAGGACTTGCGTCAGCAGAGGCCTTCTCGCCCCCAGCCAATTGTGCCCGAAGGGCCGGCTTCTTGCTGAGCGGCGTCTCAGCTCCACCTGCAGTCGCGTTACCCTCGACGCTGATCGCAGCAGCCTTTCTCTTCTGCCCATTCTTCTGCTTGCCCTTCCCATTTGACGTCGTCTCTTTGACGACAGGCGGGGGCTTCTCTCCACCGTATACCACATCTATCACGCCTTTATACCCCGTCCTCTTCAGCTTGGCCGTGACCACGACACTCCTCGCCTCTTTGCTCATACCCTCATGTCCTCGTTCCTGGCTCAAGCCCCAGACTGCGGCCAAATTAATGGCGTCCCAGGGTCCTCGACAGCCAATCGCACCAGCTTTGGTCTCAGAGCATATGATCAAGCCTCGTCCTCTGCTCTTTGAGATCAGCTGTGTCGCATTGCTGATCACGTTCCTTCTCGCTTGCGCATCGCCAAGCAGACCTTGTGAATAGTTGATCTCTATCCTCTTGCCAGATCGCAGGGCTTCGCCAAGCATTTTGTGCTTGAAAAAGAAGCCAAATCTTTGTGTCAGATCGAGAGAAATGATGTCGCAGTCCAAAGAGCTGCAGGCGAGCTGCAGTGTGCGCTCATCGATTGGCCGTAGAGCCAGTATATCGTATTCCTGCGCCAAAGCTGCCAGACGCGATCCAGGAAGAGTTTCGGTGAGGGTGAGGGTTACGCGTCGGAGGACTGTTAGCTTGGGCGGAATTTCGCTGGATGGAAGCGGATTTGGGATGGGGCTGGTCTGGAAAATGTCAGTGACAATGCTCCATGTTAATCATATGTGCTCCATACCAGATTCTTGGGTAGTTGGCCAGTAATGGAGTGATTTAGAGCTACAACATTATAGCCCAGCTCGTGAAGGAATGCCAGTGTTCTCGGTAGATTTTGATCTTCGGCTGACCAAGGGACATTAAGGTCGTAGAACATGTTTGCGGTGCCAAGCTGTCGTCCACTTCTTGCGCATTGCTAGGCGTCGGCGTCGGAAAATGGTGATATCAGTCGCGAAGGCATGAAAGTCATCAGTTGAAGAGTGACCGAATTTGATGCTTGGAGCTGGAAGCGCTCCGATTGGCTGAGATCCAGGACGCGCTAGCTCATGCGTCTCGACCCAAGCTCGGCTCACCTCGGAGGCTTCTCGGTGCTACTGGCGGAGGTGAGCCGAGCTTTTAGTCAGGTGAGGTGACAAACTCCAACAGTCCAACTTCAGTTTTCAATTTTCCTCCACATCGCGACAACACTGGCCACAATGCAATGCTCCCGGCGACCAGGCAGTGGGCCAATGAGGCAGCGCCGCGAAGCTGCCAGTCATGGCAGGTCGAGAGATAGTTCACGTTCAGCCGAAGCATATCAGCGACAAGGCTATGCAGCAGAGAACTTCTGGTTGGACGCCCTCTACCTCTCGCATATGCGCGCTTCGACCGGTGAGCGAAGGGCGGAAATCTGCTTGAGCTAGCCTTGGGACTCGGGATCTGGTGCGGCTGAACGTTCACCGGTATTGTACGACATCGAATTGCATGTCGCTCTACAAGAAGAGATTGTGTCACTTCGCAATCTTAAAAAAGGCTTTGGAGGCCGTCATCCGTTCTTCACAGATATTTGCCCGCGCAGAAATGAACATCTGCCGCTCACCGGAGTCCTCTACACAGAAAGATATATATTTCGAATGTTCTTGGGCCCTGCTGCAAGACCTTTTGGCTCTTGAAAAGTCGCAGCGCTCTCGTACAACTTGCCATCGTGCCCTCAGCAGACCAGAATCATTGCTATATCAACGAATTCCACATGCTGCCTTCAGCACGACACTCATACCGGGCACTTTGGACATCAGGCAGGACAAAAGTCACGTGTCTGATTTGTGCCTCAGGTTGGTGCCAAGCCACGCCGCCAGCATCAACTACTCCGCCTCCTGCAAGAAACCAATTCATCGTCCGTTCGCGCACTGCTCTCAGCAGCAATCCGATGCTGAAGACCCACTGCACACTGAGCAGTATACATACGCTATCCCAGCAGAGGAAAGGACTGCTTGCCTCAGGTACCGAGACGTCTGTCTTTTGACCAATGAGGTCGATCGCCTCTCTGAAAAGTTATCGATGTTGCACACTGCTCTGCCCATGGAAATCTAGCGATGTTGAAAGCACAGGTAGGCCAAAGAGAGATCTCGCCTGCTTTGGGGCTGCGAGAGACTCATATAGAGCGACGGAACGAGATGGCGCTCCTTCTTTCATGCTTTCTTGCAAATCCAAAACCTCCCACATGTTTCCTGCGGTTTTGTGCTGAACATGTCTTCTGATCCTTCTCGCAATCAAGATTCATCTTACTACTTAACAAGCACAGGACGCCACACTCGATCGGCCTCACGCAGAGACTCGCAGCATACTCAGTCGACCTCTCCGCTCCGATCAATCGCATCCTCTCCCTCTTCGCAAAGCTACCATCTTTCGTCGTACTCCGGCACCACTCCAAGCAGCCCAATTGATTTGTGAGTGTCATCAAAGTCTTGAGTGCTCTGTCCTAACAGCTTGTTAGAGCGGACAGCTTCAACGACTCCGGTTTCGCTGACTACAGCCCTGGATACGACTCTGCTGAGCTCGAGGACTTAATCAAGGGGATACACGAGGACGCGGAGCGAATATCTGGAAGTTATTGTAATGGCAACTACCTCTCTGTGCCCCTGCGGCCTGACGTCGCGAGCACCTCAACCCAGAGTACGTCGGTTGTCAATGTTAGGAGGAACCTAGCTAACTGATCCAGGATCCACCCAATGGCAAGAGGGCTATATTGAACGGAATCCGTTGAGCGAATCAGCTGTATATCAGGGATTGATGCAAGACATCGATACACCTCCCGTCACAGACAGACTCCTTCGAGTGGATGGAGATCCCTCGTTCCATTATCGTCCACTTGCACCCATGCCTCGCGGAACTAATACCAATTCTCGTCAACCTTTTGGGAGCGTAGACAACACACGGCCCGTGGCCAACGAACGATGCCAGAGACTGCAAATTTCTCGCTACTCTGTGCCTCGGCGACCTCGAAACCAGGGGCTGTATGAGTGTCTGACCTGTGGTCAGACTTTAGGCAGAGAGAGCGACCTCGATCGGCACATCACCACTATGCATGGTAATACCTACTACCGGTGTGAAGGGCTCAACTGTCTACACCAGTGTCGGCGCCGGGATAGGATGGTTGCCCACATCCGGAACATGCATGGAAGCAATCCATGTCGGTATCGTGAGATGCATAGGGATTCCTAAGGGATGATGCAGTGGAGGCAACCTGCCGTCGAAGGCGTACATCCTAGCGCCAGTAATGGTTTTCGAACACGGTCGTGGGTTCATGACTTGCTCTCCTACTCTGGCTGCTACCCTCCTGCATTGACCACGGAGCGTGGATGCGATCTATGCGTGGACTCTCAACGCATGTGAAATCCTCATCTTCAGGTCCAGTGGTCGAGTAGCGCAGCTCTGGACCGCGCCCTTAGCAGCACCCCATGTATGTGCCGAACTTCTAGCTGTCGACATCTATACATGCAAGTGACACCACAAGATGAGAGAGCATATACCACGGTTGCACTGGGCGACCGGGAGCGAGTACGTCGAACTTCAAAAGCTTCTTTGACTATGTAAGAGGTCGGGTCGTATCTGTTGTATATATACGGGCCGTGGAAATGCACCGATCAAATCCTCGGCCTTGCACTCCTCCGAGCATCTTCTTACCCTAATTCCCTCAAAGTCAGTAAGCAGAGAATCCTCACTAAGCTCTGCAGATCCTAGGGCTGCTCTGACGAGTGGTCTCCTTAGACAGCGATGGCGTGAAAGACTAAGTCGGTAATGAGGCTTCGCTCGATTACCTACGCCCTTATACCTAAGCGCTACAAGGACAAGGACACGTAGCCGTATATTCAGGAAGGTCCGAGGTTACCTGCAAGATCGGACCAACATGCTAAGGCAGTGCGAAGGGCTAGGGTGTAAATGGCCTAGGAAAATTTACATTCCTGGTCAACTTCGAGGACCTGCTCATCTTGGACCTCATTCTGCTCGGGAAATCAGACCCCCCTCACCACTATCATGCCACCGATAATATGGGGCATCGTCCATTTTGCGCCACCTCAGTCTTGCCATGGGCCGTCTGTTCGCATTGTACGGTGGGCATATAAACCATACCGGAATTGGACTAGCCTTCTGTGGCTCGACGTGTTCAGACCTCGCCATTGCGGATGATGACCTTCCAGTCCCACCAAGACACGACATATCAACGAGGGCAGGACTGCACAAGACTTTGTACCGTTCCTTGGGATCGATTTCGCTTCCACTTCAAACTGCAGTACCTCAGGCATAGAGTTCTGCAGAAATCGGGAGGCCGGCGATCCTTGGCCGCCCTCCTGCTTGAATTGCGGGAAACGTATGGAGACCACTTCACTTACATCTCAAGCCTTCCAGCGACCGGTGAGGGTTTTAGCCAATCAACTGAGCCTGTGATTTCGGGAGGCTGCGTTGATTTGCCTACAATCTCGCCTCATAGACGGCATGAACTGAAGCTTTGCATACGTACGTATAGGCTTCTCAGTCTGCATCACTTCCCCACCGCCTGCCTGTCACCTTGTTGGGTAGTTTCGGGAGCGAATGTATCAGGGCGATCAGAAACCATCTACATAAGGGAGGCGGCCTCCCACAGCACATTTTAGAATCAGCAATGTTGCTGTTCTCTCGCATTTCTGCTACCACTACTACTATACCAAGTCCCTATTCAAGCTATGCCTACCATGCTCGAGAGGAAGATTCAAATGACTTCCTTTATACTGAGACTGCTGACATCTCCATCTAGTATCCAACACACCCATCTACACGGGCCGTTGACGTCGAGGGCTCTCGCTTCCTCTGGTGCAAGGAACCAGAAAGGTCTCCTCAGATTTGAGAACTTCAACCATCCCAACGACATTGAGGCCTCTGGACCGCAGTCCCCGGTTGATACTTCACCGTCCCAGCACACTGCCTTAACAAGCCTGGCATAGCCACCACCTACGACTGCAGGCCGCCGATTGAGATCATTGAGGCCGCAAGGCTGAGGTCGAGGTCTTGGCGGCCATGTCACTTGACGATTGATTCACATACCGTGCCCTCTGATCAACACATCGACTTGTACCTCAATGTCAACAACTCCAGTATTGTCGAAGAAGGATGAGCCATGACCTTGTCAACATCATTGAGATATCTATTGTTCATTGGAAGCCCTCGTGCATACGCTAGCAATGCACGAGGGCTTCCAATCGAAACGCGTGGAGTCAGCCGGAACTAGCCTCATGAGGGATGGCTTCAAAGCAAGTGGTATACGGTATGGGTGATTTCTGAGGACCACGAAAGCAGTGATGGGCAGTTCAGAGCATCATTGGCCCTCAGAGCGTGTCAGACAAGATGTATCCTGTGGTATCCAAGGCCACAATCTTGGAAAGAGGCCGCAGAGGGAGGCCTCCCGCCCGCTACAAGGC